CCGGGACATCACCTCTAGTATTAGGGGGCACGAAACTGTTGGCTCACTCCTCCGTGGAGGATTGCCATAAATCCAGGGAAGTGGTGTTTCTTTTCCTAGTGGGGTTGAAGTGCCTGATTGCTGCGGGATTTCCTTCCCAGTTCTGGATAAAATGCGCATCAAACCGAAAAGGGGCTGTTGGCAGCTGTGCTGGGTCCTAAAAGTTACTTAAACAGATGATGAAAGGAGAAAGGGGAGAAAGGGGCCAATCTGGCATTTTCGGCGTGGTCTAGACCTGTGACAGGTTGGTGCAAGATGATAAGCATTGCCCACGGCAAAGGGCATCCCGCCAGCCCCACTGCCTCCCCGCTTGCCCAGTTACCCTCCCCTTAAATTTGTATAGTTACAACTCAAGTTAAACTCTAACAAAGCCGCTTAATTCAAAGATCGTTAATGGGGAGGAGAGCCCGTTCCTCTCCAGGATAATTTGAGCCTGAAAAGAAGCGGGGCTGTAGGGCTGCGCTTGAAATCCGGTGTGTCAATAGGGTCTCTGAAGCAAAATAATGGCATCACCCCACGTGCGAGTTAATCGGACGTGATGGCACGAAGGCAGAGGGGTCAGCAGGCCGCGGGCGCGTGATATATTGTCAGGGAGCTTAATGCCGGGCACAGAGCAGGGCTGGCTCGAAGCACAGCTCCTTGCTTGAAATCCCAGGGTGGTTTTCTGTTAACCGGTGTGGTAGGAGCAGAAATGTTCAGCAAGAGGTTAATTCACCCTCTTTGGGGCTCTTTTAGGGCTGAGAGTTCCCATCTTCCCTTCTGGAGGCATCATAAATTCTGGAGGCATCATAAATTAAACAGATTCCTGGCAGTCTGCATCCCTCCCATCTTCCTTGAATGTAATTCCTAGAAAGAAGAGACGTTTCTCATTGTTCTGGAAAGAGTTCCAATGGCTTCGTAGGAGGACATCTATAGTTCAGAGCAACTGCTCTCCCTTGGCATGAAATGCCTCCTCAGATTTCATGTTCCCCGTGGGAACATCAGCATTGCTGTCAGAGAATATTACGTAGCAGAGATAACTGTCGGGTCAGTCATGCAAGCACTTCATGGACATCCCCTGTGTTTCAGCTCAGCACAAGTTGGCCTTTGAAAATGGGGTACACCACCACAGCAATGCCTGGAGGAGCTTGGGACC